AGAAACCATGAGAAAAAAACTAACATGCTCTAACCGATCTTCTTCCTTTCAAAGTTTAGGAGATTTGAAATAACATCTAGGATCAAGCATATGCTGGCAGTATTTTTTTTTTTACATAGAAAGGTTTTCAATCTTGATTTTGTTATTTTCTATCAACTTTTTGTTTTTTTTTTTTAACTTCGAGGGTTTTTTTTCTCTGCTTGTTTTTTTTTTTTTTTTTTGTTACTTTGGCCTATGAGTGAAACTGCAGTTGTTTGAGATATCCCACGCATGATGAATGGTAACTAAAGAGCTCTTTGTGTCTATATGTTGTCTGTCTGTATGTCTTTGTATCTAACTGTCTTGGCCTCCAGTGATTGACAAATTGGTGTACATGGTGCCCATAGACGTTGAAAAAAAAAAAAAGAGTCTCCAGTTATGAGAAAAACTAAAGGTTATGGTTTGATTGTCAACATTGTGCTATTGAACTAAGTCGGTGCCTTCATAGAGATTGAATATTGTTGTTTCTGTTATTTTCCTGATATTTATGGCAAAGCTTCCCAGAAATCTAAATTCAAGTACAAATTTGGTAGCCTATCATTTGGTTGATGCAAGGAAATTTTATGGAACCTCAGTAGAGCTTCTGAGACACTACACAAAGTTTCTCCCTTTCCTCCTGGGAAAGGCATTAGATGAATTTGTTCTATTTGGCTTTTACCTAATGAAGCAAAACTGGAAGGGAAGCATTGTCACTTGGGAAAATGGTAAAACTTTGGTATGTACAGAAATGTTAGCAGTGGTTTTCTAAAATGTGTATAAAACCTCTCAGTACCTGGTGTGTATGTAAATTGTCAATGGTGATTGTCACCTTGTCATATTGTATACTTCAATTGTTTAATATCTACAGAAATTGTTTCTGGAAATATAGGGAAAAATGGTCTCAACAGATTCCTATTGATGGAACTGTTGAAAGTAAAAAAAAACCTTTCCTACAAAGGACTGAATAGACCTGGAGATACACCTGATATTTACTAAGTTTTATTTGACAAACTACTGATAATTTTTTTGCATTTTGTTCTGAATCCACAAAGTTTTCTTGTTTTGGTGACCAGGATCCGCAGCAAGGTTGCATGTTTTTATTTTCAGCAAAGCTAACTTGTCACATTTTCTCTCCCCTTGATACCAACACAGCATACAAATAGTGGTAGTAATTTTTTTGCTACTTATCTCAGAGTCTGTTTTTGCATAACTTCCATAGGGATTTTGTCTGCTTAAACAAAAAAAAAAATTGGACATGAGGTTGAGTGTGTGGCTTTGTGTGGAGTTCTTCCAGAAAGTTGAAAAAGAGCTGAACCAAGAAGAGGAGAACCTGTTTGCTTTGTTTGTAGGGTTCCAGAGACCTCCAAAGAAGGTGAGGAAGCTTGCCTCCATTGGCAGGACTGGACAACCCGGCCAACGAAAAAGCCCTGGTACCCTCGAGAAGAGGAAAACCCAGGTGGAGTCTGATGAGACCAACTTTGTTCCTGAAGCCTACATCGACCGGATGCCAATGGTTCGCTCTGATCCTATATGGAGTATTCCAACAAAGCCAGCTAAAAAATTGCTGTTTAGTTATTCTGCCCTGTGATTTTATGCAAAAATAGGAAAAATGGTTTAAAAGTAGATTTAGTTTGCAAACTTTTGCTATGCTGTTAAAAGTTTGGGATCAAGGTTGAGAAAATTTGTGTTTTACATCAGTTGAACCATTTTAAGACTTTTTTCCCTGTGATTTTGACGTATTTGCTATCTTGTTTTGGCTAATGCCTCCAGATGGTTTTTTTTTTTTTTTTTTTTTTTTTTGGCTTGAACTGATGAACTGTTTTTCCAGGAATAGAGGACTTTTGCTTTCTACAATGGACAAATACCTGGAGGGACTGGTTTTCTTTCACACTGGAACCTGGAAAAATTTTTCATCTGAGACTGCATCCCAACATCCATATATTCGATCTTCATCACCATGGAAATGGTGGCAAAAAGTGAAAGGGGGGAATTGTTAGGGGGAAAAGGCTGTCCTAAAGCTAATTCCATACAGGATTTGTGGACTCCACCCCCACTCCAGACCAAAGCCAAAAGACACTGGGAACTCCAAATCCCATCACCACCAAAGGGAAGGTGGCTGGAACCTGAGGTTGGGGTTAAGCAGCCAGGTGTGGTTAAAGCCAGACACATGGGCTTTGGAGGGGAATCCCCTCATTTTGGCTCCCCGCCAGCTCGCAGTGTCCAGCCAGCTCTGAGAGTGCCTTTGGGTTTCCAGGTCGGCGGATCGGGTAGGACGCATTCAAGACTTTATTTCCCTATTTTCTACCTGAGTTGTACATTTCCTTAATTCCCTTTCCCTTGTAAATAAGCCTTTTATTAACCTTTTGTGTGTGCCTGTAGTGGAGTATTCATAAGTCCCTTTTAAGTGTGCGGGTGAGGACCCACCCACAGCCAGGAAACCCGTTTTATTTTATATTGGGGTTGCCCTATAACAGGAAGACCAAAACAGAAATTGCAAAACTTTTTCTAGGCTAAAGGAGTAGTTGATCAATAATACCTAATCTTTGGTTGGATCCTAGAGCATAAAAAGAAAAAAAAAATCAGTTATAAGAGACATTATTGGGATAATTGGGGAAAGTTAAATATGAACTTTAAATCTGATGCCAGCAATAGGATATTAATGTTGAAAAAACATTTTAAATGTGAAAGTTGTGTATGTACACCAAAATAGCATTGTGGGTTTCCAGAGCTCTGTCACCGAACAATTTTAAGATTGCTGCCTTACACTTTGGTGTAAGAAGTCATCCTGACTAAAGTCATAAAATTGCATGTAAGGGCCTCCCTGGTGGTGCACGGGTTAAAGTCAGCGCTATTAAGCTGGCCATAGCCAGTCACTGTGTAACGGTGGTCCCCAGGAAAGGGGGAGGTCCTAGGTTCCCTGCCCCACCCAAATGGAGGGTGGAGCTGAGCAGGGAGAGAAGAAGCTGGAGAGGAGACTGAGAAGGAAGGAAGCAGGATGGAGAGCCAGGAGGAGACCTGGAGGAGGCACATGGAGCCTAGAGACATGTGAAGAAACTGCGCTTGTCTTTTGGTCGTGGACTGGGTGACACAGATGTGGGTGAGACCCGTGGGGAGGTGACAATGGCAGCTTTTATCTTGATTTTGATTTTGCTCTTTTCCTTCCGAGCTTGTCTGGTTGTTTCTGACCCTTTTCTGTGGGTCCCCACTGGAAGATGCCTTAGACTTGTGGCAGGCTTTGGGGCCTTGCTCTGGGCCAATCCCATTTGGATGGAGTTTTAACCAAAAGGGGATGAGTAACTTTGGGTGACTGATTTAGAAACTAGATTCTTTGCCTTTCCTATCTTGTTTCCTAGTTGCATTAAAGTTCCTTCCCATTAAAGTCTCATTTGTTTTGTGTTGATGCAGCGGATGGCAGAACCCATTTAGAATAGGCAGGTTTGCAGGGTTTGGGCTGCCCCTCTCCCCTCCCTGTAACAACTGCAGCACGAGTCTGATCCCAGGTCAGCTAGGGAGCATCCCATATGGCACAGCAGACCTCTTCTCTCTCATCCCACTGCTCCCCTCAGGAGTGTATTTCAGTAGATCTGCCTGTTCTGCTCCCCACTCTCTCTAGTGAATCCTCTCACCCCCTGCACCTCTGGCTTACACCCCAGTTCTTGTATGCATAAATAAATCTTTAATAAATAAGTAAATAATATTGCATGTAAGTGAATCTGTTTTTAAAAATGTGAATTTTATTCAATACAGCATTACAAACCTAGCCATAGAAATTAGGCAAGAAAAAGAAACAAAAGGCATCTAGATGGGAAAGGAAGAAATAAAAGCATCACTACTTGCAGACTGCATGATATTTATAGAAAGCCCTACATGTTATCAAAAACTTAGAATTAATAAACAGATTCAGTGAAGTTGTGGCATATAAAACCAACATACAAAAATCCATTGCATTTCTATACACTAATAATGAACTGTCAGAGAAATTAACAGTTCCACTTACAGTTACATAAAAAAGAAGAAAATATATAGGAATAAATTTAATCAAGGAGGTGACTTTGACATTGATTAAAAATTGAAGGAAACATAAATAAATTGAAAGATATGCTGGGTTCATGAATTGGAAACATTAATATTGTTAAAATATCTGCATTACCCAAAGCAATCTACAAATTCAGTGCAATCCCTATCAAAATTCTAATGGCATTTTTCCACAGAAATGGAACAGGCAATCCTAAAATTTCTGTGGAACCACAAAAGACCCCAAATAACCAAAGAAATCTTGAGAAAGAGAAACAAAGCTGGTGGCATCACACTCCCTGATTTCAAAGTTTTACAAAGCTATAGTAATCAAAACAGTATGATATTGGCATATAAGCAGACATGTATATGAATGGAATAGAAGAGAGAGCTCAGAAATAAACCTGCATATATGTGGTCAATTGATTTATAACAGATGAGTCAAGGAGATACAATAGGGAAAAAATAGTCTCACCAATAAATGGTGTTGGGAGAACAGAACAGCTACCTGTAGAAGAATGAAAATGGGCTGTGATCTTACACAGTAAAGAATTGAATGTAAGACCTAAAACTCCTAGAATACTCCTAGAATTACATCAATCTTGATAATTTTTTGGATTTGACACCAAAAACAAAATAAATAAGTGGGACTGCATGAAACTAAAAAAAATTCTGCACAACAAAGGAAATCATTATCAAAATGAGAAGGCAACCAGCTGAACAGGAGACCATATACTTGAAAATCATATCTTATAAGGGGTTAAAATCCAAAATATATCAAGAACTCATACAACTCAACAGCAAAAAATGGAGAGACTGAATAGACTTTTTCCCAAAGAAGACATACAGATTGCCAATAGGTACATGAAAAATGTTCAACATCACTAATCATCAGGAAAATGCAAATCAAACTACAATGAGATATTACCTCACACCTGTTAGAATGGCTATTGTAAAAGAGACAAGAAGTGCTTGCTTTGGCGGCATATATCCTAAAGTTGGAACAGCACAGAGAAGATTAGCATGGCCTTGGCATGAGGAAGACATACAAATTCATGAAGGATAACACATTTTTTTGCAACTTTATTTTCCTCCATTTGTAGTTTCATGAAGAATTTATGTCAGTCAGGATCTTTTCCCAAAGATAAAAAAAAAGTAAGAAATAACAAATGTTGGTACATATGTGGAGAAAAGGGGACCCTTGTGCTCTGTTAATGGAAAGGTAATTTATTTATTTATTTTTAATTTTTTTTTATTAAGGCATGTTTTATTTATTTATTTGTTTGTTTGTTTGTTTGTTTGTTTGTTTGTTTTTATACATGCACTGGGTACAGTCAGAAGCGCGGGAGGGTGAGAGAATTCACCAGAGCCAGAGCGAGGAGCAGAGCAGGCAGAAGGACAGAAGTACACTGCTGAGGGGAGCAGCGGGCGGCAGGAGAGGTCTGCGCGCCATGTGGGACCCTCCTCCGGTGGCCGGGGAGCAGCCGGGGATCGAACTGGTGCTGCAGAGGCTGCAGGCAGCTTCGCAACCCAGCGCTCAACCGCTGCGCCACCGGGGAGGCCCTGGAAAGGTAATTTAGAGCAGCCTTCCTCAAAAAATTAAAAACAGAACTATGTAGCTATCATTATTAGTAATTCTACTTCTGGGTACTTATCTAAGAAAATGAAAACTCAAAGAGATATGTGCACCCATATGCTCATTGCTGCATTTTTACAATAGACAACCTAAGTGTCCATCATTGGATGAATGGATAAAGAAATTGTGGTATAAATATTCAATGGAATATTATTCAGCCACAAAAAAGAATGAAAATTGCCATTTGTAACATCGTGTGTGGACCTTGAAGATATTATGCTAAATGAAATAAGACTTCGAGAGTAAGACAATACCATATGATCTCACTTGCATGTGAAATCTAAAAAAAAAAAAATGAAGCTCACAAATAGAGAGACCTGATCTATGGTATGGCTGAAGGTGGAGGGTTGGGCAAAATGATGAAGGGTCTAAAAGTTACAAACTTTATTTATATAAATAAATCACAGGGACGTAATATACAGCATGATAACTATGAAAGTTACTAATAAAATAAGATCTTAAAAGTTCTCATCACATAAAAAAAATTTGTGACTATAGTGATGCATGTTAACTACACTCTGCTGAATTTAGCAGGATATATACATAGCAAATTACGTTAAACACCTGAAATAACTGTGCCAATTATAACACAATTTAAAAATGCCCACCCAAAATGTGTATCAACAAAACTAATCAAGATGTAGCTTTTTTTTTTTTTTTTTTTTTTTTTTTAAAGATTTATGCAGGGCTTCCCCGGTGGCGCAGCGGTTGAGCGCTGGGTTGCAAAGCTGCCCGCAGCCTCTGCGGCGCCGGTTCGATCCCCGGCTGCTCCCCGGCCACCAGAGGAGGGTCCCACGTGGCGTGCAGATCTCTCCTGCCGCCCGCTGCTCCCCTTAGCAGTGTGCTTCGGTCCTTCTGCCTGTTCTGCTCCCTGCTCTGGCTCTGGTGAATTCTCTCACCCTCCTGCGCTTCTGACTGTACCCAGTGCTTGTATAAATAAATAAATAAATATTAAAAAAAAAAAGATTTATGCATATAAGAACTGGGGTGCAGGCCAGAGGTACAGAGGGGTAAGAGGATTCACCAGAGACAGAGTGGGGAGCAGAATAGGAGACTGACTGAAATACACTGCTGAGGGGAGCAGCGGATGAGAAAGGAGAGGTCTGCTGTGCCATGTGGGTCGCTCCATCGCTGGAGATTGAACTCGTGCTGCAGAGGCTGCAGATAGCTTCATGGTGCTGTACTTAACTCCTTGAGCCACTAGGGAGGCCTGAGGGTTAGCTTTTAAAAAATATTTTTTTAGAACTGTTTAAGTTATACCAAAAACATTGAGACTAGTACAAAGAGCACTTACATCCAGGTCCTTATTTGTTTGACATCTTACTTGAGTATGATACATTTATTACAACTAATGACATTTCAGATTACCTTCAATTTTAGTTAATGAACTTTTCTGTTCCAGGATCTTATCCAGGATACAAAATTTCATTTAGTTGTCACGTCTCCATAGGTTTTTGTTGTTCATGGCAGTTTCTCGGGACTTCCTGGTGTTGATGTTGATAGTTTTGAGGAGTACTGGTCAGATATTTCACAGAATGGCCAGCCTGTTAATGGAACTTGCCTGATGTTTTTCTCATGGTTTTCTGGGTTTATGGGCTTGAGCGAGGAAGACCAAAGAGGCAAAGTGCTCTTTTCACTGCATCGTGGTGTGCCACAACCATGATTTGTCACTGCTGATGTTTACCTGGTCACCTCGATGAGGTAGTATTTGTCAGTTAAGCTGTGTGGTTAGTCTTTCCCTCGCTTTTCCATACTGTATTCTTGTGAAGGAAGTTGGGATGCACAGCCCCCACCTTAGGAGTGAGGGGTTAGATTCCACCTCCTGGAGAGTGCAGTGTACGTATATTATTTGGAATTCTTCGGTATGGCAGATTTGTCTTTTCTCCCCATTTATTTGTTAAGTCATTTATGTCCATATGAACTCGTGAATATTTTTTTCATATTTGGGGTAGCAATTCCACACATTATTTTAATGTCTCTTTGGGATACCTACATCAATGTAGGGTTTTGATTTTGTCTGTGTTTGAACCTTTCCTTGCTTTGGGGCACTATAAGATGTATCCTCAAGGCTTATCTTGTGTATTTCCTACCTCAGTCCCAGAATCAGCTATTTTTTCCTAAGGAGCCCAGGGGATGGCTACTTTCATTATAAGGTGATTACTCACCTTACATAAGGATAAAGGCACTGTTGCATGCAAGTTATCTTATATAATTTGATTGACAACTCTTCAGGAACATGCCTTTTGCTGGACTCAGCTATTTTAAAAATTGTGTCTCACTATTAAAAGTTCCTAGCGAGGCATCATTCTAGCCAGAATATGAAAAGCCTTTCTGAGAAATGTCTTTATCTCCATCTTCATCATGAAAGGAGGTCATTGGTGATATTGTGGGTGTTATAAGGATATTGTGGCAAAGACAGATAGAGTGGAAAGAGTACCAGACTGAGATTAGAAATTGGGTGTAGTCCAGATGTTGCCACTGCACCCATGTGCACTTGGTCAAATGTCACTTTGTTCTTTTGGCCACATCTGTATAAAAGAGGTGAGTAGCTGAGCTCATTTCTAAAATTCTATTCAGCTCTAAAATGCCGTGCTATTAACAGCAGCAGCACTAACTTTGGAATGGCAGGAGCTTTGAGGAATTCAGGGTGGGAGGTGTGTGTAGGAATAGAAGTGTGAAGGGGCAAGCTGTGAGTCCAGGAGGAGGCAGATCAGTAACAGAAATGCATGAATTTAGTGTTAGCTAGTGAGCTCCAGGTGAGTGGTATCATTAATTGTCCCATTAAATATTAATAATAATATTCAAGTCTTAATCTTGATTTTAATGTAGGCTGCACCTGCCTCTCTAGTTCCCTGGCTGAGTGTGCTTTAGGCTTGTAGTTCCCAAACTTGGCTGCACACTGGAAACACCTGGAACACATTCAGAACTACTGTTGCCTGGCTCCAGTGCCAGAGATTCTGTTGTATGTTGTTCCATTATAACGTTGACGAGAAATAAACTATTATGGCCGCATTTGATGAAGTTGCTCAAGGACCTGCTTTCATTATCCTGTTTCATTTAAACATGCAGTTTCCAAGAAAATACTGACATTAAATGAGGACTTAGTGTACTTGCGTTGGGGTGCAGCCTAGTCATCAGGAGTTTCTTAATTCTGCTCCCTGCTCCCTCCATTGTAATGGCAGCAGGACCACTGCTTTAGGCTACAGATGCGCTTGCCTCCCTTTTCTATAACATAGGGACCTCATCTTACTTATCTCTGTAGTTCTCACAGTTCCTTAGCTGACTAATTGGATATGGATAACTTATTAATTTCCTATTGCTGTTGTATCAGTTATCACATTTTTTAATAGCTTAAAAATGGTCACATATTTAATGGCTTAAAACAACACACATTAGGGCACTTCCCTGGTGGTGCAAGGGGTTAAGTCACAGCACTATGATGCTATCTACAGCCACTGCAGCACGAGTTCCATCCCTGACCACATGGCGCTGCAAACCTCTCCTGTCTCACCCACTGCTCCCCTCAGCAGTGTATTTCAGTAGATCTGCCTGTTCTGCTCCCCACTCTGTCTCTGGTGAATCGTCTCACCCCCTGCACCTCTGGCCTCTACCGCAGTTCTTATAAACATAAATAAATAAATCTTTAAAAAAAACTCACACATTTATTTTCCTACTGTTTGGAAGGTCAGAAATCTAAGTGGGTTTCACTGGGCTAAAATTAAGATGTCAGCAGGGTTGTGTTCCTTCTGGATGCTCCAGGAGAGAATCATTTCCTGACCTTCTCCAGCCTGCAGAGGCCACCCAAAGCCCCGGCCAGGTGCCACATCATCCAGTCTCTGCTTCCATGTCAGATTGCCTTCTCTGACTGACCCTCATGCCCCTTTCTTACAGGTACCTTGTGATTATATGGTCTTGTGCCACTTTGTAATATTTTGGTCAATGTCAGACCACATCTATGACAGTGCCCCCACATTTCCTATCACTAGTGCCTTTGGAGCTGTGGGAACATGGAAGAATTTTATTCTGGCAGCTGCCTCATGCATCTCATATTTACCATGTCTCCTGATGGCATCATTTCCCCTTGTGCTTGATTTAATCTCGTGTTGTTTTGTTCATCGTGGCCTCTAAGTGTACAAAATCCACTGTTGATGTTGTCAGTGAGAGGCCATGTCAAGTGACTTGGAAATGAAATTAAAAGTGATTAAGGACCACAAAAGTGGAAAATCACTGATGGTTTTTGCTTGCCACCATAGCTAGAGTCTCAAACAAAAACAAAGTGACAGAGTTGTTCAAGGATCTGCTTCATTGAAAGCAACAAGACTAACCAGAATTAGGGGCCTCCCTGATGGCACAAGAGGTTAAGCTTCAGCACTATGAACCTAGCCGCAGCCACTGCAGCATGAGTTCGATCCCCAGCCAGGGAGGTGACCCACATGGCGCAGCAGACCTCTCCTGTCTCACCCGCTGCTCCCCTCAGCAGTGTATTTCAGTCAGTCTGCCTGTTCTGCTCCCCATTCTGTCTCTGGTGAATACTCTCCCTGAACCTCTGGCCTGTACCCCAGTTCTTAAAAAGAAAAAAAGACTAACCAGAATTCAAGAAGTGCCTCTATCAGATATGGAGAAACTTCTAATGACCTGATTTGAAGACCAGGCATAGAAATTCATCCCTGGCAACACCTTGATGATTACAACCAAAGCAAGACATTTGTTTATGATAATGAGAGAAAAGGCTAAGCCCAACTCTATGAATTTACTGTTAGGTCTATGATGTTCACACAACAAGAAAATTGCCTAATGACACGTTTCACATCTCAGTGCCCTTAAGGGGAGCACTTGCCTGTATAGGGCTCATGGGGATAATCTCCCCATCTGAGGATCCTTGCAAGTCCCCTTGGCCATTAAGGTATCAACATCACAGGTTCTGGGAATTAGAGCATGGATGTCTTTGAGGGGGACACTGTTCTACCTTATCACACATAAAGATGGGCAACAGCTGTCATTACAAGCCCACAAATGGAAGTAAGTTACCCTGTGATGCCTGACATTTCTCTACTTTCCCTTCCTTGATTTAATCATATTTGTGGAAAGTTATCCACCCTGGTGAAAATGTAATGTGAAAAAACAGCAAGGAGGCTGGGAGTAACAGAAATAAAGAGCAGATACATATTTTGAAATGATTCAGTGAAGTGATATTTGGAACTGTAATTGGCTGTGGCGAGTTTTAAAGGGCAGAGATGCTCCATCACTTTAGCAGGGCCTGGGGGATGACTGGATCTGCCATGTGGTTTTGTTGCCTCCCACCCAGTCCTCCCTTGCTCCCTGAGCCTGGTTGTGCTGTGGGACAAGCAACCAGCTGCCCCCCCCCCTCATCCCGCCCCATCTCTACAAGCAGCTCTGCAAGCAGCTCCCTCTCTCCTGGATAGCATATAACACTCGACCTGCTGTGTATACAGGCCAAGAAGGGTCCTCAAAGACATGGTTTTATTTATTTTTTTAAAGATTTATTTATTCATTTACATAAGAACCAAGGTACAGGCCAGATGCGCAGGAAGGTGAGAGGATTCACCAGAGACAGAGCAGGGCACAGAACAGGCAGACTGACAAAATACACTGCTGAGGGGAGCAGCGGGCATGACAGGAGATGTCTGACACACCATGTGGGACCCTCACCAGCCGGCCGGGATCGAACCAGCGCTGCAGAGGCTGCGGACAGCTTCACAGCGCTGCGCTCAACCACCTGCGCCACCAGGGGAGGCCCAAAGACATGGTTTTAGATGAGGGTTCCCTGTTTATTGCTGAACATATCAGGTGGCAGAGGGCCTTAGTAAAGGAAGCCCCCAAGGAAAAACATCTCTCTGCTGAGGGACTAGCCTGATCCTCTCCTAATGCCTGTTACCCAGTCCCCTTCTCCCACGAAAGCCCCCACAACCCCTTCCAGCTGGTTTCTGTCTTGTAGGACAGTGGAGTCTAGCCAGCCATCTTCTTCCCCACTGAGCTGGTCAAGTCCCTACGGCTGAGAAATCCCTCCAGCCTGAGCGTGGCCCAGCTATTGCCATGGCGACAGCCAGCTGCTGCTTAGCACCAGCCTAGGGACTGGGAACAAAAAAAGTGTGGTGGAGAGGTGTGCGCACAGGACCACCTGCACTCTTGGAGGCCTGGGGGCGGCTGGGGCACAGCAGACCCTTTGGGAGCCCCGGGAGTCCTGATGGGTTTGTTCTCTCAGGGAGCCAGGAAGTTTGAGACATCTAAATTCCTCCAGCTTTCCACACTGGGATCAGGTTCATAAAGATAAAGCTGCCTTTGCCAAGGCATCTGTGACACTTTGCACATGTGCACTCATGCTTCACACTGGTGCAGGCTTTCATCCTGGCATGTGACACCATGTCAACCTCCAGGGAGGATGGAGCGCGGGAAGAGGGTCTTCTGAGGCTGCTTTCGCTTTCAGACCTGCCCTTTGATGGACATGGAGCATTCAGAACTCCCAGATTTCTATGTGACCCTGGGCAGTAATGGCAGATACTTATTGTCAAGTGTTGTGCTAAATGTTTTCCATGCATTATTTACTTGATTTTCACAGTAATCTTATTAGATGCACTTGTGTTTAACTCTCATCATCAGTAAAGATATTGAGGTTCAGATTTGTCCAGCATGGGCCCAAGTTTGACTGATTCCTAAGCCCATGTTTGTAGTGCAAGGCCTGCAGCCCAGCAAGGCTGGGAGGCCAGGTGGGGGTGGGGAATGAGGGGACTGGGGGGTGGTGCCGAGGCTTGGGAGGCAGCCGAGCCTCCGCCTCCGAGTCCCTGCACATCTTTACTCTTTCTCTGGACTCTCTCTGGCATTCTCTTGTGCTCTCATCTTTTCTGTAGTCACTCGTCCTCCCGCAGCCATCCTCTGAGTGACACTGCCCTTATATCGCTGACCTCTAGGCTCAGGGGTGCACATCTACACATGCCCACCCACACTCCGGATATCCACCAGCAGGCACACGTGCCCGGCACTCACACTCCCAAGCACCTTCTACAGCAACACAATCAAGGCCACAGCTGATAGCCACAGAGGCTAATGGCACAAAAAACCCTGATTAATTCACTTAGCCTACAATGTTGTGCTTTAATTTCCTCATCTGTAAAAAGGGGGTAATAGCTGCCTCACAAGATGACTGTTATGCAAATCGAATGAAAGTACCTTGGTGAAAACTTGGCAAAGCACTGACAGCTACTATCAACCGTGTTGCTGGGAGGAGGGTGGCCATCCCTGGGTCCTGCGAAAGTCATCCTCTCCTGCTCTGCGTTAAGGTTACTTGTGGTCATCAGGCTTCTCCGGTGGCAAAATCTCAGCTTCTGGCTCATTCCCTGTCTCCACAGGTGATTTCCATGGTGCTGGTGGCTGTGGGAGTGTACGCTTGGCTGATGAAGCACGCAGGTGAGCTCGAGGTCCTCCGCCACCTCCCCACGACTTGTGCTCCTTCCTCCTTAGCCCTGGCCCCTGACTCTTCTTCCCTTATAAGCTATGGGATCAAGGTGGCAGCCGCCTTCTAACCAAATCTCAAGGGTCTGCTCCAAGACATCCAGCCGCCCATGACATTTCTCCTGCATTTCGCTGAACTCCCACATCTTCCAAGATGTGCCTACACCTTAGCCTTAGAAGTATCTAGGGAAGAAGGTTGGCCTGTGGGACCAATGAGAGGCGTTAGTCCCTCTCTGGCTCTGTCATCGGATAATTCAACCTCCATTCCCATTTCACTGCGCAAAGTCTCCAAGAAACAAAAACTGCAAAGCTGGCAAGCCTAATGCCATTCTAATTCTTTTCTGGAGCATAAGTGGTCCCTCCTCTCTTAAGCCCCAGGAATAAAGACATGGTTTTATTTATTGTTATTGTAGTTCCTCAAATTAAATACCACACTCTCTTCTGGGCTCTTTTTGTTCTCATAGGAGGGCAGTGCTGCCTCCCCAAAGCCTTCACCCAACCATACTGAAGATTGCCCCATCAGGGAAAGGCACCCCACTCATCCCTGGGTACACCCTCAGTTAGTACCAGGGTCAGACTGAGAGACAGACTGTAGAGGGCAGGAATGACCTCTGAACAGGTTTTCTATGATCCAGCAGACGGGTAAAGGAGGAGTCAGAGTCCACAGTGGTTTACTGCAGGTTTTTATTGGGATTACCAGGTACACGGCAGGCAGGGGCGCTGGGGGGCCGGGAGGCTGGCGGGCCTCCTAGCCCCCAGCAAGGCTTTACTCTTTCTGGGCTCTCTGGCCTTCTCTCTGCTTCTCTGCTCTTGGCTTCTCTTTCAGCTTCTTCTGGCGTCCCCAAGACGCCGCCCTTGAAAAGCACAGTCTCAGCCCAGGTGAATCCCATCTACCTATGCCCACACCCTATTCCAGGTGCCCGCCATCAGGCATGCATTCAGGACCTCAAGGATCCATCATCTATCCTGATGGCGGAGGGCAGAAAAGCCTGACATTTTCCTTACCCTACACCCACATAGGGTGCAGCAGACCTCTCCTGTATTGCCCGCTGCTCCCCGATGGCGGGAGGGCAGAAAAGCCTGACATTTTTCCTTACCCTACACAGACCCCTCCCCAGAAGCAGCTTTGGCCTGTCTGGCAGTGGACCCTGCTATCCTACTGATCGTGGTGGGCGTCCTCATGTTCCTGCTCACCTTCTGCGGCTGTATTGGATCCCTTCGTGAAAACATTTGCCTCCTGCAGACAGTGAGTGGTCAAGGGCCCCACCAGAAGAACCCTGGCCCCTTCCTCCATGTGCCTCTTAGTCTCCTGAGTACAACCTTTTAGTTCCCTGTCTGTAGAGGCAGGAACTGGACACGGGGCAGGTTCTCTGATCCCATGCAGACCGGGTAAAGGAGGAGTCAGAGTCCTCAGTGGTTTTGCAGGTTTTTTATTGGGGTTCACCAGGCATATGGCAGGCAGGGGTGCTGGCAGGCCTCCCAGCCCCCAGCAAGTCTTCACTCTATCTGGGCTCTCTAGCGTTCGTTCTGCTGCTTCTCAGCTTCTCTTTCGGCTTCTGCTTCGGCTTCTACTGCTGCTGTTTCGGCTTCTACTGCTGCTGCTGGCATCCCCGTGACGCCGCCCTTAAAAGCACAGTCTTAGCTCAGCTGAATCCCATCAACCTATGCCCACACCCTATTCCAGGTGCCCGCCATCAGGCATGCATTCAGGACAAGGATCCATCATCTATCCTGATGGCGGAAGGGCAGAAAAGCCTGATATTTTCTTTACCCTACACTGTCCCACCCTACCCCCAAGCTCTGTGCTGGCCACTCTTCATTGGAGAGCTCAGCCCATGTAACCCCGCACAGAGTAGCCTCCCGAGACGGTCCCAGAGGCAATGGCCTCTATCATGTGTTTGGTGGGGGGGGCATCTGGGAAAAGTAGCCCGTGGCCCCCACCCCATTCTCTTCATGATCTTGGGAGGGACCACACTGCTCAGGTGGTAATGGACGGTCTCCTCTTCCCGCCTGCACCCTGCAGTTCTCACTCTGCCTCACCACGGTGTTCCTGCTGCAGCTGGCGGCCGGGATCCTGGGCTTCCTCTTCTCAGACAAGGTAGCGTTGGGAGCCAAGGGGCCTTTGGTTTTGAACCAGAGGGAGGAAGAGAAGGTTCCTTCTGTGTTTCACCTGACTAATTAACCACAGCACTCCTTCCCCTGAGAAGCATCAGCCTTTGAAAGTGTCTCCTTAGGGATGAATGAATGACCTTTAAAGTCACTATATTTAAGGAAGTCTTCAATATTGTAAGGTGTTTTCTTCTAATAGTCTGAGAGGCCATCAGAGAAGTAAATTCCATGAACAGAAAGTTAAAACAATCTGTAAATATTAATGGTTAATGACTGAGGAAAACAGTTATCAAGTGAACCACAGACAACATGATGAGACTTTTATTTCTTTTAAAAGTTATTTATTGGCATAAACAAAAGGAAGGGGGAGGATAAAGCAAGGAGGGGGTTTGGGGCAGTGCTTGCGTATCTGGAAGTGGTCAGCCATTTACTGGAGTTCTTTTAATAAAGAACCAGAGAACTGGTCCCAAAGGGCAAACAATTGTCAGTGCAGAGTAGAGGACTGTGGGCAGGAAAAGCTGAGAAAAGTAACAAAGCAAAGGAAGAGATCATGGAATTAGGAGCCACTGAGTTAATTTAGAATGTCCTGATCCTTCAGCTCTTAGTAAAATTCTAAAATGATACAAAGCTGTACTGACTCTAAAGAGCTGCAATTCTCTTGGGCCTCCCAGGTTACGCAGGTGGTTGAGCACTGCTTTGTGAAGCTGTCCGCAACCTCCACAGCACAGGTTCCAATCCCACATGGCGCGGCAGACCTCTCCTGTCTCGCCCGCTGCTCCCCCAGCAGTGTATTTAGGTTGTCTGTCTGTTCTGTTCCCCGCTCTGTCTCTGGTGAATCTTCTCACCCTCCCACACATCTGGCCTGTACCCCGGTTCTCGTATAAAAATAAATAATCTTTTAAAAATAAATAGAGAGCACCGACTTAAAAAAAAAAAAAAGTTGCAATTCTCTTATATCCACTAGAGGTCAGTGCTCAGCTCAGTAAATTGTTCTCCCCAAAAAAAAAAAAAAAAAATAGTAATAGGGGACCTCCCTGGTGGCGCAAGAGGTTAAGACACAACCTATGAAGCTGTCCACAGCCATTGCAGCACGAGTTCGATTCCCAGCCAGGGAGCTACCCACATGGCGCAGCAGACCTCTCCTGACTCGCCCGCTGCTCCCCTCAGCAGTGTATTTCAGTCAATCTGCTTGTTCTGCTCCCCTCTCTGTCTCTGGTGAATCCTCTCACCCCCACACCTCTGGCCTGTACCCCAGTTCTTGTATGCATAAATAAATAAATCTTTTTTAAAAAAGATAGTAATAGGGCCTCCCCGGTGGCGCAGCAGTTGAGCGCTGGGTTGCGAAGCTGCCCGCAGCCTCTGTAGCACCGGTTCGATTCCCCAGCCACCGGAGGAGGGTCCCACATGGTGCTCAGACCTCCCCTGAGGCCCGCTGCTCCCCTTAGCAGTGTACTTCGGTCCTTCTGCCTGCTCTGCTCCCCGCTCTGGCTCTGGTGAATTCTCTCACCCTCCCGCGCTTCTGACTATACCCAGTGATTGGCATAACAAAAGGAAGGAGGGGGGATAAAGGAAAGAGGGGGTTTGGGGTTATAAATAAATAAAATTAAAAAAATAAATAAATCTTAAAAAAAAGTAATAGTCTCTTTACATTAATCAACAAGTATTTTGTGGCAATAGTATTCAAAAAGAAAAACAAAGGATTATCTTGAAATTGGCTCTGAGAAGTGGCAACAGCAAGTTCAGCGTTTTTCTTGCCTACTTCTACCAGGGACGAGTAGACTTTGGAACTGGCCATTTTTTATCACTTACAATAGGTTCTGATTTCAAGACCAACTTAAAGAAAGATGACCACTGTCTACTGTTATTTCTGCAGGGAGGAACACCTGAAGGGTTTGTCCTGTGTTGTGATTCCCTACTCATTTCTCTGGCAGGCTCGGGGGAAAGTGAGTGAGATCATCAATAATGCCATTGTGCACTACCGAGATGACTTGGACCTGCAGAACCTTATTGATTTTGGTCAGAAGAAGGTATGAGCTAAGTGTGGGGGTGAGGGGCAACTAGTGGTCTGGGAGGCTATAGTAATGTTAATGCCATCCCAAGAGATGGCTCCCTCATCCCCCAGGCCTATGGCTTCTTTATTACCTTACAGGTAATGGATTCTTGGAATTTGGGTATAGGGTAAGTGTAAGGGCAGGACTGGCCACAGAGCAGGTTTTCTGATCCCATGCAGACCGGGTAAAGGAGGAGTCAGAGTCCTCAGTGGTTTTTTGCAGGTCTTTTATTGGGGTTCACCAGGCATATGGCAGGCAGGGGTGCTGGCTGGGAGGCTGGCAGGCCTCCCAGCCCCCAGCAAGTCTTTATCTGGGCTCTCTAGCGTTCGTTCTGCTGCTTCTCGGCTTCGGCTTCGGCTTCGGCTTCGGCTTCTGCTGCTGCTGGCGTCCCCGTGACGCCGCCCTTAAAAACAGTCTTAGCTCAGCTGAATCCCATCTACCTATGTCCACACCCTATTCCAGGTGCCCGCCATCAGGCATGCATTCGGAACAAGGATCCATCATCTATCCTGATGGCAGAAGGGCAGAAAAGCCTGACATTTTGTTTACCCTACAGTAAGGTAAAAGTATCAGGCTTTTCTGCCCTCCAGCCATTAAGATAGAGGAGGGAACCCTGTGGTCCTGAATGCATGCCTGATGGCGGGCACCTGAAGTGGGTACACCTGGGCTGAGAGACTGAGTTTATAAGGGCGGCATCACGGGGACGCCAGCAGAAGCCAAGAACAAACGAAGCAGGAGAGCAGAGAAGCAGAGAGAACATGAGAGAAGGTCGGAGAGCCCAGATAGAGTGAGGATTTGCTGGGGTCTGGGAGGCCTGCAAAAGCTGCTGGGACTCTGACTCCTCCTTTACCCAGTCTGCTGGGTCAGAAAACCTGCTCCGTGCCCTGTTCCTGTCCTTACATTGGGCAAAAAAACATACATAGCAGAGTGCTTTAGAAGTACTTTTAAGGGGCTTCCCTGGGGGCCAAGGGATTAAGTCTCAGCCCTATCACCATAACTGCCTTAGTCCAATCCCCAGCCAGGGAGCTAACCCACTGTAGGGTAAGGAGAAATGTCAGACTTTTCTGCCCTCCACCATCAGGATAGATGATGGATCCTGGTGGGCACCTGGAGTAGGGTGTGGGCATAGGTAGATGGGATTCACCTGGGCTGAGACTGTGCTTTTAAAGGGCGGCGTCGCGGGGATGCCAGCAGAAGCTGAAAGAAAAGTCGAGAAGCAGCAGAAGCCGAGATCACTGGAGAGCGCAGATAAAATGAGGATTTGCTGGGCCCTGGGATCACTGCCAGCCTCCCTCTCCTTCCTTTCTGAGACGGAGTCTGGCATCTCCGGAATGGCAGGTCGGTTTCTCCGAACTTCTTCCTCCAGAATCCTCAAATGTTGTTGCAGTATCTGCATCTCTTCTCGCATCTCTTTTCGCATCTCATCACGTACTTGCTGGATTCTAGATTGCTCTTTCTGCCTGGACTCTCGCGGGGGGGAGGGGGGACAGAAAAACCTGACATTTTTCCTTACCCTACACCCACATAGGGTGCAGCAGACCTCTCCTGTATTGCCCGCTGCTCCCTTTAGCAGTGTATTTCAGTAAATCTCTCTGTTCTGCTCCCCACTCTGTCTCTGGTGACTCCCCTTATCCTCTGTACCTCTGGCCTACACCCCAGTTCTTCTACACAAAACTAAATATTTTTTTAAAAAATTACTTTTAAGGACACAGAAGAGTATATATGGTAATCTACCATTTGTGGGGGGAGAAAAGAGGGAGGAAAGATTGTGCATTCATATTTGCAAAAGGAAGACTATGTAAGAAGCCATTATATGTGGTTACTTATAGGGAAATGAGAGCTGATTTGTGAATGATATTCAGGTTAAATTTTTTAAATTGTGGTAATATAGATCCAAGATAAATTTACCATTTTACCCATTTCTAAGTGTACGGGTCTACAGGGTTAGTTCACATCGTTGTGCAACCATCATCCCCATCGATCTCCAGAACTTTTCTTCTTCCCCAGCTGAAACTCTGAACCCATCAAACAGGAACTTCCCACCCCACCCCCAGCTCCTGCACCTCCGTTCTATTTTCTGTCTCTGAATTTGACTATCCTCGGCACCTTTTATAAGTGGAATCATACAATCATTCATCTTTTGCTGGACACTTGAGTTGTTCCCACCTTTCGGCCATTGTGAATAATACTGCTCTGAATGAAAAGTTACGTTTTAAATTAAAATGCTTTTGAGATCAGTGCTCAGTTCCCCTTTCCTTGGGATAACAGATACTTGACGTGGATCCTATTTGCTTTCATGGAGTAATTATGGCCCACAATATTAAAGATTCTCCTCCTGTATTAAGATGTTTTCAGCACTGATCTTTTCATTTTTTCAGTCAGTATTTTTGAACCCCTCATTCTGCGAAGCTCTATGCTCTGCAGGATGGCAATTCCTGAAACTACCCCCAAGGAGCTCAAAATTGAACGTGTAAAACAAAATGTGTATGTAAAGCTACAGCAAGTTATGACAGGATTCATAAAATAATAGAAAAATGAAAAAACAACTTCAGGTGAAGGCTACTGAGAAACTCGAACTCAAGATTTAAGATTGTTTAAACATGACCCGACTTCCCAGCCGGAACCTGCTAGTAACTCCCCTAGTTACCTCAATGTGATGGGTGGGTGATTCTTAACCTCTCTGATGGGCTTTGTTGTAGTTCAGCTGCTGTGGGGGTAATTCCTACAAGGACTGGTCCCAGAACATGTACTTCAACTGTTCAGAAGACAACCCTAGCCGTGAGCGCTGCTCTGTACCTTATTCCTGTTGCTTGCCTACCCCCAACCAGGTAAGCACACACCCACCTCATGTCCTCCTGGGTTACTGTCTGGTTAGCTGCTGTGGCGACCCCCACCCCCTAGTTTAACCAATCACTTCTGTAGGACAACTATCAGATGCTTTCCTTCACTCCAATCTGATGGCTCTGTTAACCTTTTATTCCTGTATGGACTAAAATGCATAGCGTGGATGGGGGGTTTATAGGGGATGAACTCTAAGGAAGGAGAACTACACTCAAATCTCTCAGAGGAAGGGAAGTCTGCATTTAGCAACTTGCACCTAGCACACACTACAAGCATTCTCTTATTAAACTTCAGGAGTTTATGGTCCAACCTCTATGGAGAGCTGTGTGGAGATTTCTGGACCTACTAAACATAGAGCTTCCATATGATCCAGCAATTCCACTCCTAGGTATTTACCCAAAGGACACAGAAACATCAATTCCAAAGAACACCTGCACCCCTATGTTTATAGCAGCACTGTTTACAATAGCTAAGCTTTGGAAACAACCCAAATGCCCAAAAATAGATGACTGGATCAAGAAGATGTGGTACATATATACCATGAAATATTACTCAGCATTCAAAAAAGATAAACACATGCAATTTGCAGCAACATGGATGGCGCTGGAAGGGATCATGCTCAGCGAAATAAGCCAAAAAGAAAAAGAAAAATACCGGATGGTCTCACTCATAGCAGGAATCTAGAAAACTTAAATAAGGGACCAGGAAAATGAATATAAGAAAGTGAAAATCAAAATCAACAAAAAACTATGAACCAGAGACACTGTATGGGGGGTGGGGGGCAGGGAGGGGAGGGATTGGGGTCAAAATAAGAGGATTGCAATTGTATGGGGAATATAAAAATAAAATTTATTTTAAAAAAAATTAAAAAATAAATCTAAAAAAAAAAAAATTCAGGAGTTTAGGAATGGTGGGAAGTCCTTCAGTTTGGGTCCGAAAGAAAAAGTTGCAAGAACGAGAATCCTACTTGGTTTTTCAATTCTCTCCCCAGGCAGTGATCAACACCATGTGTGGCCAAGGTATGCAGGCCCTGGACTACTTGGAGGCTAGTAAAGTCATCTACACCAATGGCTGTATTGACAAACTGGTCAACTGGATACACAGCAACCTCTTCTTACTCGGTGGTGTAGCACTGGGACTGGCCATCCCCCAGGTAACTTACCCTATAAAACTTCTGGGTCACACAATTCTGCAAAGACGCCTTTGTTTTGGGGAGGGCACATGGGAATTAGCTAGGATTGCAGGCACTGACACTACCAGGGGGCAGGGAATGGAATGGCACGGACCACACTGGGAAGGTCGAGTCAGGGAAAACAAGGGCATCACACATTGCTAAGAGCCCATTTCCTTCCCACTTCTTCCAGCTCGCAGGAATCTTGCTGTCCCAGGTCCTCGTGAATCAGATCAAAGGTCAGATCAAACTACAGCTCTACAACCAGCAGCACCGGGCTGACCCGTGGTACTGAGAATTAATGATGTACTCCCTCACTGTGGCAACAGGTGAAGCCTCATCAACCAACTGCAGTGGGCACCAAATGGAGATTTGGATTCCAGTCCCCCAACAGCCACCCAGTGGGAAGAAGCAAACTCCAGACTGCGGAAGGCAGAGTGCACAGGTGGCTCAAGTCTCTGGAGGATGCAGTATGCGCCGTCTCTCCCCATCCAAGCCCTCAGCATCATTAGAGTGTTATTTTTGTATTGTTTCTGACCTTATGCATTTGGGCTTGTGTTTTTTTAAGTTTTGTCTGGGCAGAGATGTTTGGGAAATAGCAGTGGCTGAGCAGTGAGGGCACTAAGCTGTTGCTTTTCATGGAGGCTACCTACAAGGGCAGCTACCAGGGCAACTCCTAGCTTGACAGACATTCAGATTATGGTTCTTGCCAGGGAGGCCTGGCTGAAGAGTGGACACCAGCAGCCCTGCCTGGAGTTCAGCTGGCATGATACCAGCCCCAGAAGGGAAGGGAGTGGTCCAGGCAGTGAACTAGGGGGTCGGCTGGGGACAGTGGCGTGTGCTAGGTAGAAGTGGAAGGGGATATGTTTACTAAATGCCTGCCCTGCCGTCCTCCCAGGTGGTGAGAGTGAGCTACATCCTGCCCCTCCTCATTTCCATGGAAACATGGCAGCAAAGGGTAAGGGGTACAACAGCAGCCAAATTCCTCCCCCTACCCTTTGAAAAAGGTTTGGAACACGGTCTCTTATTCTGCAGCCAGGAGAGGTGGAACTGAGCCTTACTGCCCTTGAATTCTTCCCCTGTCTGGCCCTCCCTCTCGAGTAAGTGGAGATTTCTTTAACCTTGGCAGTGTGCAGAGGATACGAGGTAAGGTGTGCACCCACCCCTGCATCAGAGGTCATTTCTGCAGTGAAAGAAGCAGAGATCTTGCTGGGGCGAGGGGGGGCGGGGAGAGAGACAGAAATGGCAATAAAAGTTTGTTGACCTGGGCTAAGGTAGACACCATGAATTTTCCATCCTGGCAAGCATAAGGCGAGGGGGTGGTAGGGCCCAGCCTCTGAGCCTCCCCCCCAAAAAAAGTGTACTGGAGACTCTCGCAAGCGCCCCATATCCCTCAACCAGATGCACGACCCCCTCCCACAACCCACCCTCTCTGGTCTAAATTAGGTCTCAAGATTCCCAGAATTTATGTGGGAACAGCAAATTTTTGTCCCCAAACCTGATGTTAATTTGTTCCCGAACTACAGTGAGTTAAAAGCAATAGCTACCCAAAACTTTCAGCATGGAGTAGTGACGGAGAGTCCGGAAATCTGAGTCTAGCACTCTCCGCTGGGGGAGGGGAAGGAGGAGGAGGACCATCTCTTCCACCCACTCTGGGGGCGCGGCCCCCACTTTTCTCCCCCAATCCTCAGGCCCCCCGCCCCCCGTGAATCTTTGCCGTAGGAGCTGGGCACCCTAGCCTATCCCGCATTAGAGAGGACTCAAAACACCCCCGAGCTGGACGCTGGGCTTCCTAGCGCCCAGGGAGCGCTTGAGGGCGGGGAGCCAGGAGGCCGGGCAGCGCTGGGGGCGGGGCTGGGGGCGCTGTGGGTGGTCCCCGCCCACGCGGCTGCCGGGCGCCGCGCCTGCACCCCATCCCTGAAGGCGCTAGGCTCTGGGCTGGGAGAGCCTTCCTACCCCATACGTAACCCCCCCCCAAGTGTTCTGGCGGTCACCTGCTGTTGGGGGGCGTGGAGGGGGCTCAGTCTAGGGACTTGGTCTGACCATAAGAGAGGATCCCTAAGGCTCCGGGGAGGCAGAGGCGCGGGTTCGCACCCCACCCCCAGTTTCTCCTAAGCGAGCCTTCTGCTCCTGGGAGGGCGCCTTTCCAGCAGCCGCCTGGGGCCCCAGCCAATGTTTAGCTCCAGCTAGTAACAGAAGGGAAAGAAAAAAAATAAAATCATCACAAATAAAAAAAATATATAAAGTAAGGGCCTTTTATTCTGGGAAAGAAGAGTGAAAAAAGTGTACTTTCTTAGTGCCAGAGACATACACTTTATTTTTCTTTTGGACCCAGAAGTCTGGTTTGGGTTAACAAGTGAGGTGTTGCACTTTCTGGGTTCACCTGCTCAGAGGAGCTCACTGACAGGGCACTCGTTAGGGGGACTTTTGGAGGTTTGCAGAACCAAGATTCAAATCCAGATTTCTTAACACTACAAACTACATATTTACCATGGTCTCTACTGTCTCTCAGAATCTAGATTTCTGGGCTTGGACAAAAGGATAGGGGATTTATGCCCGAGTCCCAAGCCTTAAAACGTCTAGAACAGATGTTCAGAAGTTGGTACTGGTCATGGTCAAGCTGCTTTCACTGTTTCTCCTTCTGAGTATCTGATTTTCTTTCTCTTTGGTCTGACCCTGGGAGAGAAAATCGATTTTTTTTAAAAAATAATTTATTTATTTATTTTGAAGATTTATTTATTTATTTATACAAGCACTGGGTGCAGTCAGAAGCGCGGGAGGGTGAGAGAATTCACCAGAGCCAGAGCGGGGAGCAGAGCAGGCAGAAGGACCGAAGTACACTGCTGAGGGGAGCAGCGGGCGCCAGGAGAGGTCTGCGCGCCATGTGGGACCCTCCTCCCATGGCCAGGGATCGAACCGGCACTGCAGAGGCTGCGGGCAGCTTCGCAACCCAGCGCTCAACCGCTGCGCCACCGGGGAGGCCCAAAATCGACTTATTTTTAAAAGACCTCTTGCTATTTTATGTTTTAGTTATTTTGCTCCTAAATTTATATGTTTCTAATAACTCTAGTCTTAAGGACACGGGACTAACACCAGTATCTTAGAACAGCCATTAAATCCAGGCCTCAAAGGCAGACGAATGGAGAAGACTCTTAGGGCAGTCTTCTGATGGATAGAAGGGGAGAGAAAAGACCTGAAAGATGGTGAAAATCTGGCTTGATAACGTGACAAGGAAGATACCAGGAGGTTCTGTGGGCCTCAACCCTACAATTTATTTATTTATAAATTTATTTATTTATAAATTTATTTATTTTTAAACACTAAGCTTGCTATTGCTTTATTTATTTATTTATTTATTTTTATTTATTTATTTATACAAGCACTGGGTGGGTACAGTCAGAAGCGCGGGAGGGTGAGAGAATTCACCAGAGCGGGGAGCAGAGCAGGCAGAAGGACCGAAGCACACTGCTGAGGGGAGCAGCAGGGGCAGGTGAGTTCTTTGCGCCATGTGACTGGCGCTGCAGAGGCTGCGGGCAGCTTGCAACCCAGCGCTCAACCCTACAATTTAAACAGGGGCTTGAGTCCAGTAGTGATAACATTGCAGAATGTTCAGTGAAACCCTGATTCTTCTGTATTCATTTCTTATTGCAGCTGTAACAAATTACCACAAAGTTAGTGACTTAAAGCAATGTAAATTTGTTTTATCACAGTTCTGTAAGTCAGAAGTCCAAAATGGGTCTCACTGAGCTAAAATCTAGATGAGTTCCTTCTGGGGACTCTAGAGAATCCATTTTCCAATTTCGGGGGCCACTTGATAACTTAGATGCCTGGTCTCTTTTTCCCCTCCTCAAAGTATTCTAATTTCTGCTTCTGTCACATCTTTTTCTCTGACCCTTGTGGGATTCAACCCCCACAAAACATTTGTGAGTATATTGGCCTCACCCAAATTATCCAGGATTGTCTTCCTATTTTGAGATTCTTAATCACATCTACGAAGCCCCTTTTACTATGTAAGGATTTCAGTAATTAGGACGTGGACATTTCTGGGTAGCAATTATTCAATCTGCTACCTCTTTCCATTCTCATGCATAACTTAATGTGGGGGAGATGTAGAAATGAGTTATTTATTGTTGGCTACTGGCAAGAGTTTAAGGTATGTGTTATTTATTCTTCATTCTAATTATTAACATTATGTGCTTACCATGTTTCAGGTACAAATTTATTACAAAGTTTAATATGTGGGTCTTTTGCTATTTTCTGATTTGTCTTCATCTTGAAGACCAGATATGTTAACTGAGCCAGGGGCCAGTTTCAAAAAGGGAAACAGCACAGCTGCTTCCACCAGAAACATTTTCCTGGCCCATTACTCTACAAAGGGAAGGGATGTTTGGCAAAACACCTCCTTGTCCAACTCTCACCCCAAGAATAATTAGGTATTTCAAATTGTCTTTGATAAAACACATAAAATGAAGGGTAACCATGCTGCCTTCTCATAGCTGAAGGTTTAACTATCCCAGGAAGACTGTAAATGAGAACATAATCCCAAAAGGCCTGATTGAAGCAGGGGAGGAACAAATAGAATGAGACTAAATGCCTCCTTCCTGCTGGAGAATTGCATTTATTAAATGTTAACTACTGGAAAGTGGCAATTGAGCTTCCTCTGAATGAAGAGTCTGGTAGATGCCTTAATAAAGGTGCTGCATGCAATGGAGAATTTAAGTTCCTAAGTCTGCCAGAGAAGACAGATTTATACAATATATGTTATATCTTATACATTACATATACTATAATATCAGATAAACATGCAGAATACAAAGAAAAATAAAGCAGGCCATGAGGATACAGAGTGATGGAAGAGGTATTATTTTGGATGAGGCAGTTAAAAATGCCTAAAATTAAAAATATTATTTTGAAATAATACAGTCCCAGGTAGTTGCAGTGAAATGTGCAGGGAAGCCCCATGTACTTGTTCCTAACCTCCCCCAATGTTAACATGCAATTATAGTACATGGTCAAAACCAAGGAATTGACATAAATGCCATCAGAAGAGCTTATTCGGATTTCACCAGTTATGCATGCACTCATTTGTGTGTGTGCATAGTTCTATGTACACATATGTGTAGTCTCATGTAATCACTGCAATCAATGTAATACACTACTGAACTGTGTATATGAATTATATGAATAAAGCTGTTACAAAAAAATACTTAACTGTACCATCATCATAAGACATGTTGGCATTACCTTTTTACAGCCACACCTATCCCTTCCCACCATCACTAACGGCTGGCACCC